CTATGATGTCCTTGGCCTTCCAAATGCTGACATTTTCCTGACTTTAGATATAAACCTCTCTGCTTCTTCACATGTTATTTTGCTGTTCTTTGTATGATCTTGTTTATTGGTACAATTTAAGTAGTTTCAAACAAACCAGTATCTTTCTTATGCCAAAAAATAGAGGTTCTTTCAGTCTTTTATAAAGTCTTTTAAAAACAGTTAATCTTTGAGTCACAAATGCTTTTGAGAATATGGTAAAAGCCATCTAGATATCATATGTGTGTGTCTATAACATTTTATGTATAGCTTTATGTCAGCTCCCTAAAGTGTATCTATGGAGTTCTACAGGATCAGTGAACCCCAATTTAAAACCCTTGCTATAGAAAATGGAAAAAACTGAAATGCACAACAAACAAGAAATGACACGATGTTCTGTTATAGGAAGGATTTGCTTAGCATAATCCCAGGTTCCTTTCCTGGACCAAATACCTATTTTTCTGGGTCTACAATATTTGAGAATGTCATTCTAGAATGAATTCCCAAGTATACTGCTTGTTCATGTTCTGCCATCTACTCAGTGTGAAACCTTGGACATAATACTTAGCCCTTCTAAGCTTTAGTTTCTCATCTATAAAATGGGGATTAAAAACAGATTATGAGGATTAAATGAGATAATAGATAGAAAATATTTAGGACAGTTCCTAGCATATAGTAGGTGCTCAATGACTGCTAGCTAGTCTAGGTGCAAGTAGAAACACAACTCTTAGACCTGACAAAATAGCATAAATTATCTGGCAACTGAAATTTGCCAATTTCTTAATAAAGTCCTTCACTTTGCTTTTCTCTGTACTTGTTAGAGCAACTGCACTTAGATTCTCCAAAACAATTGATTTGATCTGGCCCATTTGGTAAGGAATGTCTGACAAAAGTGCCCTGTCTGATTCCCATGTAGTGATTGCTGTAGAAATTGGCTTTAGAATCTTCAGGGACTTCTGCAGTTGAACTGAGAAGACGTCCTCATCAAGTACAGTGCTTCTAACACTTCTGGGTACTTTAAGATTCCCAACTACTACGGTTTCTTGAAGAGCCTGTTTGTTTTTTAGAAAACTCTCAAAGGAGATTAATACTCCACCCCATGGAGTTTTACTACAGACTTTTGGTGTCAGTATTTTATTCTTTGTGTCCTGTTTTTCTTGCCTTATCTTAATGACCGTGGTGACAATATGAGTTTTGCTTGTTGGATGACTTCTTTTCATTTTCTTTAGCTCTTCTGGGGATTATCTGGCTTAATGTTATCATTAAAAGACAGTGTGGTATAGACAGCTTCAAACATTGGCTTTCTCATCTTCTAGCTCCGTAGCCATAGGAAAGTCATTATGCCTCCATTTTCTCAACTTTAAAACAAGGAAGTTAGACTGGTCATCTCTAAGGCTCTCTCCCTCCTTTAAAGCTGTCATCTCAGGAAGCAAGGAGCCACATGAAATGTCCATCCGTTTGTAACATGTGGGCTTTTATCCATTTGTGATTCTTGGTGCTGTTTTCATGCTACTGACGTTGTCAGTGAGCAAAACAAGTACTTTACTGCTTTCTATCTTCTGTTGGATGGCGCATATTTTATAACTTATGTATTTTGCCATGTAGCTGTTTTCTCCATTCTGTGCTTTTGTTTGTCTTAAGGAGGTGGCTGTGCTGTCTTACAATTTTAGAGTCTGTCTCTGCTTCCATTTGTCCATCTGTCTGTAGTAATGCAAGTCCCAGCACTCTGTTAATACCTCCTTGCACAGATCCCATTACCCATTCGTATTCTCTCACCAGAAGAGCTTTGCTCAGAGAATGCTGCTGGGCAAATGGCATGATGGTCTTAATAATTTGAAAACTTCCTGCAGTGTGTGTTTTCCATTATTGACAATGGTGTTCCAGAAAAATATATGACTCTAGCAAGAGTTTGTTCAATTTTTTCCTGCTCTTCAGTACCACCTGTGTACTAATGAAGCCATTGAGAGTGCTTTATATGTAGTAGCTTGCACCTTTGTTGGTTTGGGGGTCCTGAATGAGCACCTCTTGGTGGTGCTACTGATGTTACAGAATCTGCAATAAAAGCACAGCTGTATTCATAACATCAGGAAGCTTGTATGCCTTTTGCTCCTCATGGGCCTCTTCTTTAATAATGTCTGAAAAGCACTTCCCTGGTTCAGTGTTTAAAATAGAATTTAGAAATGTGTCTTTCAATCAATGGTTCTGTGGGGGACTCTTAACATGCAAAAGTTTCTGTATGCTGGAAGTTGGTCTTACCATTTTGTAAGAGAAAAAGCCAGTGGCAATAAACATTGCAAGAAGGGTGACTCCAGGTTAGCTAGAAACACCTATCTACTCATCCAGACTCTCTTCCTCTCTCCTGAAGATAAGTCAGGGGTTGTGTGATAAAACCTTAGATTTCAAGGAATTCATATCTGACAGGTTGTTGGAACTATGCAGCTGAAAATTAGAATTCTGATGCATTTAAATTCCTGTTTATTAAGAATGAAGCATACTTCTTTTCCTGGCTGCTTTGTTGACATTAAGATTGCAAGACCAGGAAGCATTGGGTTCTCTTTCTTTCTTTCCAATTTCAAAACTTCTACATCTTCCCTAAGCCTCCTCTGTCTTGGGATGTTTTTTTTTAACCAATAAATGCCATATTATTAATCTCTCAAGGAATTGATAGATATTGCAGCCCTTGTCCATTTCAGATCCACTCCACTGAGAGATGGCTGGGAGGCGTGTAACCTTTATTGACAACAGAAATCAATGAAAAAAACCCACAACAAAGCAACAGATTGTTTCTTATATCTCTCCGCGAGTCTGAAGTGATCTCTTGTCTGACATTGTACTCCATTGTTTGTTCTTGAGTTTTAGGAAATATAAGATATTAGCTATAGTAGATAGGTATAGAGGGTGGTCATTCTATTGCATGAGTAAACTAAGTCACAATACATGAGTCCTTCACTGTAAATCTTTCATCATCCTATAAAAATCCATATTCCATTGTCAAACTATTTTTAGAGAAAAAGCAGATTCTAACATTTACATTTTGTCCCAGCCTTTACTACTGCTTCAAAGGAGAACAACACATATGAAATGATTAGAAAATAATGTAACCTACCTGGAATTGGCTATAAGTGCAATAGAGTGATAGAGAATTACCCAACAAGTACTTATTTCGCATCTACCATGTTCCCAACTATGCAAGATAGGCAAGCAGAAGACAGGGCCCTGCCCTCAGTTTGATTTGATCTTTTGAGGAAGCCATAAAATGACACAGCAGAGCTGATGCATTATGACCTGTAATGACATTATAAAATAAACCTGGAATATATAAACCTACACATTATAAACCTGGTAAACCATGGAGCACAGACATTATAGCGTAGAAGAGAAAAACTTCCTTGGTGAGTAGAATGGTAGGGATTTTAAGGAAACTGAGGGAGAGGAATAAAATGATGCAACAAATCCAACAGATGTTGCGAAGGAGAACTGACAGCACTTGGTGACAGACTTCATATAAAGGGGGAGGGAAAAGGCTATATCAGAAAGGAATACAAAGGTTTTGTCTGCTGGTCTTCAAGAGTGACTAAAGGGAAAATGAGTCTGCTTTTATTCCTGTTAGTCTTGAGGTGACAGTGGGACAGCAAATGAAAATGTGCTGCAAGTAACTGGAAATGCAAACACCTGAGCTGTATCTCTGTATGCTTAGGAGAGGATGAATCACTCAGATATGTTAAGTTAGGGTGAGGAAGTCAGACGTCTCAGAAGTGGGAGGTGAAGTCAACTTCAAGGGGAGAGTGGCAAGGAAAGAGAGAGGTGCTTTGGATAGCCATCAGGAGGATGAAGACTAGGACAACTGGTGAAAAGAAAGTAAACTGGGCCAGAATGCATAGGTCTCTGACTTCCTCCAGCCACACCTTGCCTTTCTGCCATTGGACAGAGGGACTAAACTGAGAGAGTGGCACTGGCTGAAGAAAAGGATAAGGGAATCTAGGGAGGATAAATGGGACCCAGGAGACTCAGGAGAGCAGAAAGTAGTCTCTAGCGCATGGGAACATGGGAGAGGGGAGAGGGCAAATAATTGTCACTAGAGATTGGAACATGCTACATTGCAAAGGGAGGTGGTGACCCCTACGTGGCAATGGAGGGGACAGGCAAGGGAGGGAGGCCACTCAGGGGCAGCTGTGTTCCAGAGGAGATGTCTGTGGACCATGGGTGTCTCCCTAATACTGGCTTGCTTTGCCTTCACTCCAGGGCACTGCTAAGGAAGCCCTGCCTCCCACCCTCCACACTCTAGCTAATAGAGGCCTCCAGGGACAGGAGTCCAGCAGCTGGTTGGGGGAGCAGGTTTGCTCATTGGAACTTGATCTGATCTATTTGCATTGTTGGCTCAAAACTCCTGATTCTATTCTGGGATGGTTTTCTATCATTTAAATGCCATAAACACAAACAGCACAATAGCCCACTAACTGGCCCCTGCTCTCCACACCTGGCAGGCCCAGTCTGCAGCTCCATTTGGAGAGGACCATCAGTCAATCAATATGGTGGTAGTAGGGTGTCCTCCAAGCTTGAAGGAAGGATGGGATATTAATGAGGGGAGAGGGAAGCAAGAGGATAGAGGTCCACTGAGCTACTGGAGAGACCACAGCCAAATATGCTGGGAAGGAGGAGGAAAACCAGGTCAGCACCCTCCTTTCTCCCTCTGGGTTTGGGCTACAAAGAGACAAGCAAAGGTAAACACATATACAAGTGCACACAGAGAGAAGGCCTACAGTATAGGTGCATACACACAGCTGATCATAGGTCAGACAGTTAGGTAACAAGTTTAGACACATGTGAAGGCACACCTGAACCTGCTCAGTCAGACATACCCCCACATAACTGCACACATCTCCTCCTCCTTCCAGAATTTCCTTTCCATGGAGTACCCTGGTATGCTTAGAGGCACGCCCCTCTCTTCCAGGCCTCACCCCTTCCCCTTTGTGTTTTTCCAGGTCGTGACATGGCGAGCACCACCCTGCCTGGTTACCCCCCTCACGTGCCCCCCACTGGCCAGGGAAGCTACCCCACCTCCACCCTGGCAGGAATGGTGCCTGGTAGGTGACAGTGCTGCAGCTGCCTGATTTAGGTGGGGGGAACTAAATTGCGGGCGAGATTCTGAATGGTCTGCAGTCTGAGGCTGGGGGTGGTGGGGAGACCCAGCACACCCTCCCCCCAAACCACTGCTATTCTCTCCCTCTTTCTCCCCAGAGGCTGCGATTAGTTCCTTATCCTTCCTCAGGCGCAAACCAGAAAGGAAGTTTGCAGAAATGTCCCCTTGTGCGCACCCCACTGTACGTCATGGCCCCTCCACAGTGCCCAGCCACCCGACCTGTGCTCCAGGAGCACTGAGCCTCAGCTCTGCCCTCAGGGCCCCAGCCCACCCCCAGCCAGCTGACACTGCTTGGAAGAGCCTGCCCTGGTTTCCATGGAAACTTGGAGCCAAGAACCATTTCCAGGGGCATGTCAGTCACTCAAACAAAGCCAATGTGGTCCACACCAACCCAAAGGAAGACCCCACCCCAGGCCGGAGGGAGCTAGTCCCTAATCAAAGAGGAGCAGAGAGAGGGCAGGCTATGGTAGGAACCAGAGAGACTTTGGCTTCAGAGACAAGCTAGAGCACCCCCAGTTCTCTTCAGAGGAACTTGGGTTCTCATTGCTTCTCTGGAGCTCAGGCCCATCCCCTGGTTGAGAGGAGCTGTGTTTGGGCTGTGTGCACCAGAGAGGCAGAGGCTGTATTTAGCGTCTGGTGACTGAAGTTGGAACGTGTGCTCTTCCCAAACCCCACCCCAGATTGGGAGCCAGGCTTGAAGCCAAAGAGAGTTGAAGCTCCTCTTTGCATAAACACCAAAAAACTCATGTCTTAAAAAGGGTGAGTCTCACTGGGCCTGCACCCTACTCCTGCTGGCTGCCCTCTTGTGTGCCCCTCTCCCTGAAAGCTCCTCTCACATCGGAGGTTGTGGAGATAGAAGAGGGTGACTGGTCCTATTCCTGGGCCATCCATCTAGGCACAGCCCTGGTTAAGCAGAGCTTGGGGGTAGGGAGCAATGGCAAAGGGGGAGGTCGCTGCAGGGTGTTGTAGAATAAGGGCTGAGGGGAATTAGAGGAACTGGGTAAGGAGAGCTGGGAGTTGTGGGCAAGGGGATTCCTGCCCAGATTTGGCATAGGACTAGAAGTGTTGGGGACAAGGAGATTCTTCCAGGGAGGTCCCAGCAGTGGGCAGGTGGAGGCTGGAGAAGGTCTTAGAGAGGTGGGGGTGCGGGAGAGGGGAGTTTGCAAGGAGGTGGGGATGAGGAGAGCTGCAGAGAGCTCATGGTGGCAAGGGGGGAGTCGTTAAACAGAATCTAGTGCTGATGAGGAAATTACACTTGTTTCATTAGCGATGGGGAAGGAGATAGCTCAGTTCCTCTTGGTCACAGTTGAGCTCAGAAGCTCATTATCCTGCTGCACGCATGCTTTCCCTCCTCGTCAATAAACAGGCTTTCCAGTGGCTGCATCCCCCACCCCCACCCCAGCTCCCTCTCTGAGAGGGGCCCCTTCTCCTCTACTTAACCCGCGGTTAGGGATCACTGTAAACAGTCTGGGGTCATCACACAGGAGAAAGGGCTAGGGGGAAACCCGGAGGCCTGGCCTTTCTCCCACGGAGGGAGGGAAGTAGCTTCCGACGGCTCCCAGCCCACGGGGCCCTCCATTCACCGCCCCAGACCGGCAGGCAGTCCACCTGCTTCCCGCCGCCTCCTTCCCCTGCTGCGTGGCCCATGTACCGAATCTCTCGAGGGAAAAGCGCAGGGGGGTATTTCCCAGCAGAGCCCCCACCCCTTGCATTGGCACTGTGCTGAGATGCCATTCTTAGGACTTTCTGGGACGAAGTGTCCCGAGGGCCTTTCGTCAACACCCTCCCCTTCTTCCACCCCTTGGGGCTAAGGCTCCTAGAACCAGTCTCCACTAAAAAGGCCCTAGCCCCCAACGCAGCGGGGTAGGCACGCCTGGACCAAGAACAAACCCTTCCTGGGAGGTCTGAAGCCCCTCCTCTGGGGGAGCCCCGGGCGGGGTCTGTCTAGTAGGTCCCTCCATGCCCGCGTGCGAGGCGCATCAGTGCTTCTGCATCCCATTCCGACCCCGGCTTTGCCCACGCGGACCGGGTGGATTGCTCTGCCCCTGCCGGGCCTGCCCGCCAGCAGCGAGATTTGCCCTGCCTGCTGCACCTGCACCTTGGACCCGGGGGAGGCCCGCGGAGCGCGCCCAGGCGTTGTGCGCGTCTGATCCCCACTCCCCCACCCTCCCGCAGGGAGTGAGTTCTCCGGCAACCCGTACAGCCACCCCCAGTACACGGCCTACAACGAGGCTTGGAGATTCAGCAACCCCGCCTTACTAAGTGAGTAACGCCACCTGGCTGGCCGGCGGCTCGGCGCGTCCGCCCGCCGACCCGCTCAGCCGCGCTGCTTCCAGACGCGGGTCCCACTCCCTGCGGCCCGACCTTTGGGGGCCGGGCCGGGCAGGGTCGTTAGTGCGGCCTGAGGCCCCGGCCCCATTGAGGACTCCCGCGCCTCCCGCGCTTCCCTCCCGACGCCTCTTTCCCCGGCCGCTGGAAGGCTCTGGGCCCCCCGGAAGGTCCGCAGTCGGGCGGCGGCCCCTCTCCCACGCGGTGAATGAAGCTCTCCCGGGGACGACCGGCCCCACACGCCAGCCGAGGTCTCCCTGCCCCATCCCGCCGGCCCCAGCCCCGGGAGGTCTTTTCTTTCCTTTTTTGTTCTCCTGTTGTGCTCTCACCCATCCCATTCTTCTCCTGTGTTAACTTCCAGGTTCCCCTTATTATTATAGTGCCGCCCCCCGGGGCTCCGCCCCTGCCGCTGCTGCCGCTGCCTATGACCGCCACTAGTTACCGCGGGGACCACATCAAGCTGCAGGCCGACAGCTTCGGCCTCCACATCGTCCCTGTCTGACCGCCAGCCCCGGAGGGACGGCGCACCGACGCGACGCGACGCCCCCGGGCCACCGCCCCAGCCCCACCCCTATACCAGGACCCCTGCAGCCCTTCACGTCACCCCGTCCAGGGCCGAACAGGAAGCGTGGAGCCGCGGGCGGGACCCTCAGGGCCGGGCCTGCCGCCCCCCAGCCCCGCCCGCCGCCCCTCCCCGCCTGCCGGGACTGCGCCGTTCCGCCGGGAGGGCCGAACCCAACGCCTCGGCCTCGCCCGAGCCAGTCCCGAAGGGGACCAGCCGCACCGTCGGACTCTGGCCAGGCCGGCCGCTGCCTCGGGGGACACGTTTCTGTGACACACAATCAGCACGGACTGCAGCGCGGCCCAGCCCCGGAGCAGCTCTCCTCGGCCGCCCCGGCGCCGGGAGGCTTCGCTGGAGGGACTGGGCAAAGGAAATAAAACGGTTTTCTGCAGAAGGAGGAAGAATCTCCTGCCTAACCCTCGGAGAAAAGTCCTTAACCCCCGGGCCAGCCGGACTGCCCCCACCTTCCAATGTGCCCTACTCCAGCAGGTGGAATGGCATGGGGGCCGGGCGTTAGGATCGCGGGTTGGGGTCGTCAGGTCTTTCCAAAGTTGGGACCAAAGACACGCAAGTCCCAGCAGCTCGCGCCCACCAAGTCCGACTCCTGGCTCTTCCCTGCGCCACCTGAACTGCACGGTTCCCCAGGGCCCAGGCATCTCTGCTAGTGACCAGACTCTCAGCCCCATCCTGCCCCTAACTCAGTGTCTCAACAGTCCGCTGACCTCCCCGTTTCCCCTCCTTTTCCCATCCCACGACGCTCTGCATCTCTCCTCCCTAACTCGTCGCCCTATGCGAGGCTCTCTCCCTTGCCTGCTGCAGAACCAATTTCCGTAGGCCGCGGGGCGCTGGTCTTCCCCGAACAGTTACTTGATGTCCCCTCTCCCGACAGCCTCTCGATCCGCCAGTGGTAGGAGCAGGTTCTGAGCCGGCGTCTGAGCTGCGGCGAGGTGGAAGTGGGGGGCTGCCCCACCCCACCCTCACACACCAACCCCCAGCCTCCTCCTCCAGCAGGAACCGAACAGAACCGCAAAAAGTACATTTATTTAATATGATGGTCTTTGAAAAAAGGGGGGAAAAAGACAATACAAAAACCCAACAGGCTGCTGCTTTATAGGAAGACGGTGTGCCGTGTGAAGGCGAAAACCCGTGTACATAACCCCGCCCCGCCCCGCCCGGTAGAGTTCCCGCTGCCCGCCCGCCTTGCCTGTAGATACGCCCCTCTGTCCGTGCTGTGAGAGTCGCCGCTCGCTGGGGGAAAGAGGGAGAACACAACTACACGCCCACTAAAGCACAGCACGTCCTGGGGGAGGGGGGCATTTTTTTATCTTACAAAAAAAATTACGAAAGAAAAGAAATCTCTATGCAAAATGACAAACATGGTCCTGTGGACTCCTCTCGTCTCTGTTTTGTCGGCTATTTCTCTGTGATTCCGTGTTTTCGGTCTCCCCCGCATCTCTGCCCTCTCTCCATCCCTCTCTTCGCTTCTCTCCCCCTCTGCCTCTCTCCGTCTCTGTCCCTCTCGTCTCTCTGTCTCTGTCCCTCCGTCGGCCTCTCCCCCCAGCCCTGCTCCGGCCGCCTGGCCCTCGCAGGCTAGCTCCGAGGGGGCCGCTCCGCCCGGGGCTGCCCCCTCGCGGCCGCGCCCGCGCGCCCTGGGCCGCCCGCCCCGCCCCGTAGTTGCTCTCTCTCGGTAGCGGCAAATGCGCCCTGCATGTCTCCTCACCCGTGGATCGTGACGACTCGAAATAACAGAAACAAAGTCAATAAAAGTGAAATTAAATAAAAAATAAATAAATAAATAAATAAATAAATAAATAAATAAATAAAAATCCTTGAACAAATCCGAAAAGGCTTGGAGTTCTCGCCCAGATCTCTCTCCCCTTCGAGCCTTTTTTTATTTGAAAAGGAAAACGAGAAAAGAGACTGATTTAAGGGAACAGCCGGCGCCCAGCCAGGTTCCTGTGGCCCGAGCGGGGCGGCGAGGGCGCCAAGGTTCGAACTCCGAGGCCCGGTCCATTCCAGTCCTTGTGGAGCTGGCCGGGCAGGGCCCCATAACCAGGACCAGCCGAACCCTCCAGAGATCTCCGATAGCTCTGGTCTCCTTAGCCACTTTCAGCGCTTTGGTTGGTTTCAATTCTTTCTTCTTTCTTTCTTTTTTCTTTTCTTTTCTTTCTTTCTTTTTCTTTTTCTTCTTTTTTTTTTGTGCACATGAGAAATAAATAATAATAATAAATAATAATAATAAAAATAAAATTTTGTATGTCACTCCCCATGGCTCCAAGTTTGTCTCTCCTGTCTGGGACAGGCCTCCCCTCATGATGCGAAAATAACCCCTTCAATGATCCTGCCAACTACATTCTCATTGCGACCCCCTCCCACCCTTTTGCTAAGACCCTCTCGAGAGCCTCAATTGAAGGCAGGCAAAGGCCCATATGAGTCTGTACTTAAGTAGCCACCTTTCCCCACCCACCCCGTCCTTGGGCTAGGAGTTTTCGCTTTCCAAAACTTCAGGATAAATTGGAATTACTCATCGATACCAGGTCGATTCTGTTGCCCTGCCTCTCCACCCGTACCCAGATTTAAGGATCAAGCTCTCAGAACTTGACGTTGGTCGAGGATTGTCCAACTATGGATGCTCCAGGATTGCCTGCCCTCCTGTCTACTCCCTCCGCTCATCCGCGCAGTCGCAATTTTATCCCGAGTCTCGCACAGAGACCGCGGAGACTGCAGGCACTGGCCCCAAGTTTTCTCGCTGCGCATTTACTTCTGGGCCTGAATAGGGCCCAGCCCCACGGAGATCGGGGGAGAACCTGCCGGCTCGCGGGATCTTGCCCGCCCCAGGGTGCGTCCCGAAGAGGGCGCTCAGGCGCCTTGTCTGTTGCTCTGTTGGTCCGTGGGTGGCTTCTCTTTCTGTTGTCTCCTGTGCCTCTCTGTCCCTGGGTGGGTCTGGGAGTGGGAAGGTGGGAGTGCTGCTTGTTTTTTCAGACATTCACTGTTCTTGTGCCCGAGTGTCCAGTGAAGGATCTGTGTGTCTGTCCCTGTGTCTCTGTTCCTCTTTGGTGGAGTTATGGAGGGATTGTCCAGGTTGTCCAGGCTGAGATACTTGGGAGGGGTTCCTTCTCCATCCTTTCATCAGCCTCCTGATTCCAGCCCTCCCACCCAGCTTTGACTCAGTCTCCGCCATTGGGGACTTTTCTTCTCTGTCCCCAGAAAACCTTCCCAGCTCAGCTCCTATCTCTGCCTTCCTCCACTGGAAAGGTTCTTGAAGCTCTGAGCTGCCAGAGAAGTCTGGGGGGCTTCTGACATAGCCTGGAGACACACACTAAGGAGTGAGCTTCTCCTATGGCTGGGGGCAGTTCTCCCGCACATCTACTTCCCACCAGGACCCCAGAGACCCATTTCCCCTAGCCCATTGCCCAGCTCCACCTACATCATGCCACTTCAGGAAGATATGCAGGATCCCCAACAAGTCAGTAAGCTCCTAGTTGAGTCCATCTCTTTCCTTCTCCCTCCTTACCTGTCTCCTCCCTATTCCCCATTTCAGTAAATGACAGGCCCACAGGCCCACAGGCCACCCTGCCTGGTGCTGCTCTTCTCCATCACAAGTCTACTGGAAAGTGGTCTTCAAACTTCTTTGATCATACACCATATCAGTAAAAAGAATTCTGAATGTGTACTCTCAATGTAAGTATATTTACTTATTTACAAATTCTATAAATATACTACTGGACTATAATATCATGGATTTTATAAGACAAAATAGAAAAAGAATGAGATTGGAATACATAGAAATAGAAATTCTAATGTCCTCTTCTCATTCCTAAATGGATTATTTTACACCCCCTGGAAGATGTACATTCCACTTTGGAGTTCTTAATCAGAACCCATCAAAACCCAGCATGGCAGAACTCCTGACTACTGCCTGATGCCCAGTGGGTGAGTTCCTGAAAGTTGTCAGGGCACTGGGTTGGCCCAGTCAGTGCTGCCTTCATCATATGTAGCAGGTTACCTGGCCCCCAGTGCCTGTCTGCCTACAGGGGCCCACAGACTGGGAGCCCTGCCCTGTACAACCCATCCAGTTGGGAGCCAGGGCCTCTTACCTGGGTAGAACTTTTCACCTTCTGTTCTATTTCTGGTCTCTTTCCTTGAGGATCCTGCTGTCTACAGTGACCACCTAAGCCCAGAAGTTTTCATGCTCTGTCCCTCCTGAGGTATTGATTTCTGCTTGGAATCAGCCTGTGGGCCCTCAGAACATGTTCTATACTTCTTGACCAGTTTCCTGTTCTACTTGCAGCCCTATTTACCCATCCCAAATACAAATTGGGCCTGTTCTCCAGCTTCAGTGTTGCCTAGAACTCACCTAATTCTAACCTCTGCTAGTCCTGTCTCCATCCTGCCCCCAACAGATTTCCCAGCTGAGGTATACCAAGGATGACAGAAACAGATGAAAAAAGGTGTCCTGGGTGGAGGGAACAGTATAAGCAAGGGCATGGAGGCATGGTGATATACCAGATAAAATGTGACTGGAGTGTCAGGTACCTGGGGAAAGACAGGGGCTGGCTGGGGAGATGGCAGGAGATGAAGCTTAAAAGTGACTGAGAGCTGGGACACTGTACTGGAAACATCAAAATGGTATCCATCATGCACATGGCTGCTGTAAGGAGGCTGTCCCACTCACAGCTCCTCTTGCCCAAGTAGACACCGTATTTGTACTAATGACTCTGTTAGAATTGGACTCTTGCACAAAAGAAGCTGAACCAATCAATCCTCTCTTCAGGACACAAAACTAGGAAATAGGGGGAGTGTGAGGCCATTGGCCATGAGAGCAAACCCCCAGTGGAGGCCCTGGCCAGGGATTACCCAGTCTTCCTCATTTCAGTAAAAGGCAGTTTCAGTCTCCCAGTTGCTCAAGCCCAAAACCCAAATCTTCCTTGACTCCTCCTGCTGTATCCAGCCTGCACCTGGTCCACCAACACAACCAGACTGCTCTGCCTTTAAAATATCCGCAGGATTTGAGCACTTACGGCTACCTGCGCTGTACCATCTGGTCCAAGCCACTGTGATCCTTCACCTGGACTTGCCCAAAAAGTTCTAATTGGTTTTCCTGCTTCCATTTCTTGCCCCACCCACCCAGCAGCCAGAGTGATCCCCCCAAATGTAAAGCAGACCACGTGCCTCCTCCACTCAGAGCCCTCCAGTGGCTCCCCTTCCCCTTCAGAGTCGGTTGGAACCTTAACTCTGGCCTAGGAGGCCTTTGGTGTTCTGGCTGTCGCCCTTCCAAGGCCACCACCTCTGGTAACTCACCACCCATTACTTGCTCCCCTCCCCCCAGTTGGCTGGCTTCTTTGTCTGCTGACCTCCAGGCTGTGCTTCAATTATTTCCAAGAATGAGCC